TGGACTCTGGGCTGGGCCCGGCTGGGCGGGGGGAGCAGCCCTCGCAGCCTCCTCACCTTCGCTACCCCTGAGATCATCTGGTGACTGGAGCGGGGCACCTAGAGCCAAGTCACCAGCTCCCAAAGCCACGAGGCAGCTAGTGGCTGTGGCTGGATGGCAGGTCCGCAAGGGCGTGTCCCTGCTCAGCGCGTGGCCTGCACGGCCAGGGGCACGTGGGGAGCCCACGCCAGGGGCTCTGCAGCTAAGCAGGCCCTTGGGCGGAAGGCTCTGAACGGGCGGACGTGCAGCCTCCCCTGGGGGTGCTGCCTCGCTGGCGAGGCCTGGGGCGTGGGACTGAACTGTGGCGGGTGAGCCAGCTCTCCGTGGCCCCACGCTGGCAGGGCCGGTCTCTGCAGCGAGTGGCCAGAGCAGCCTCTGCCGCACTTGTGCCCTCTCCCCTGTTACCAGCACGTGCGGCACCTGGGCCTGTTTACACCACAGCTTGGTATGGCCCCCTCCTGTTCCTGCTGTGACTGTGGCTTTCTCCTTTCCCAGCCCTGGGCCTGCGGAACCCGCTGGCCATGCAGAGCTCCTATCCGGCCGCCTTCGGCATGGCACATCCCTCCGTCAACGGCGATGTGGCCGGAGCTGGCGCCTATGCCGGCCTGCACCTCATGTCCCCGCAGCTCAATGGGGCAGCGGCGGCCGTGGGAGCCGCCGGCTACGGCCGCTCCCCTCTGGTGAGTGTCCCGGAGGGGTGGCAGGGCAGCGCCTGGTTGCTTCTGAGGGTAGCTGAAGGGAATTCTCTTCTCTGCTTGGCTAGGTTGGCTACGACCCGCACTGCCACATGCGAGTCCCGGGGCTGTCGGCCGGCCTGCAGGCGGGGACCTCAGGCAAACCGTAAGTACCGCATGCCCCGGGGTGGGGCAGGGAGCGGTGGAGACCCCCTCCCCCCGCCCCCGAGCTGGGGGGGGCTGTGCCGAGGTGGTGAGCCCGGGGTGCTGGGTGGCAAAGCAGATCCAGCCACAGATGCTGGCTCTGAGCAGGTGCTTCCCCTGGAACTCGCCCTGGAGGAGATGCTGCGTTTGGTGCTGGGCTTTCGCTAATAGACGCTTGCTCCGTGGAAGCAGAGGGGTAGCTGGGCCCTGTTTGCACATGGGCCTGGACCTTCCTGATGCCTGTTCATCCATCCCTCCCCCTGCAGCGCCTACTCCTTCCACGTGAGCGCCGACGGGCAGATGCAGCCGGTCCCCTTCCCGCCCGACGCCCTCATCGGCACCGGCATCCCCCGGCACGCCCGCCAGCTGCACACCCTGACCCACGGCGAGGTGGTCTGCGCCGTCACCATCAGCAGCTCCACGCAGCACGTCTACACGGGGGGCAAGGGCTGCGTGAAGGTGTGGGACGTGGGGCAGTCTGGGGCCAAGACGCCTGTGGCGCAGCTGGACTGCCTGGTAAGGGGGAGAGATGATGTGCAGGACGAGAGCAGCAGAAATGGATGAGGGCTATTTCCTTAGACCAGCAGGGGGAATGAGAGGTCTATACTCTCATGACTGACTAGAGAATTATTTACCCTTTCATATAAAGCACAGTCCAGGAGTCACCTGATGACATGAGTAGGCTGAAGGATTAATACAGATATCAGGAAGTACATCGTGCAATGTATGGCCAAACTGTGGAACTCACTGCTGTGGGATGTTGTTCTGGCCAAATACCTGGTCCTTTTCTGAGCCCAGTTAAGTGCATGGAGGTTAGGCCTGTGATACAGTCCTGTGCCCAGGGCATCCCCCAAATCTCTGCCTGCCAAGAGGGAGAGATGGGGGTACCTCCCCAACATGCTGGTCCTGGCCATTGTCAGATGCTGAGCTAGATGGACCATTGGTTGGATCCGGTGTGACTGCTCCCAGTGCAGACTTGGGGATGGTCCCTGCCGGGCTGGGTGCAGCCTCCATTGTTTGTGGGTGCAGGGGAGAGCACGTGGATGTGTCCAGGTTGGGGAAGCGGTTAGATGGGCATCTTGCATTTTAAGTGCATCCCTGGAGGTGCAGCGATTGCTGGTGCAAAGTTCCTACCCAGAGAAACACGGGAGCTTGTCAGCAAATTCTCCCGAATATCCCCCCTCCGCACCTTTGGGGTGGGACCTGGCCATCGGGCTAATGCCAGGGTTCGAGACGGGACGCTAGCCCAGCAGCAGCGCCACAAAGAGGCGGTTTGGTGGCAGTTGTGGCCTGTGGCAGCCTGGATCGCACTGTCGTGGTGCTTGTCTGGCCCCGTCATTGGACTGTCTTGGCATGTTGCTGTCTGGCCGTCCTGTGCTCTGGCAGTGAGAGATGAAGAGCGTGTAGGCATTTGTGTGTCCCAGTGAGTCAGTTTAAAAAATGAATGGTCACAGCTTGAAACCCTGGTCCGTGTCTTACCCCATCCCCAAATTTCACCTCCCTTTAAACTTTGCACAGATCACTTGGTCTTTTTGCCTTAGTTTACCCATCTGCAAATTGGGCCTAATATAACTGAGCTGCTTTATTACAGAGCTGAGCCTTGAATCAAGCAGTATGGCCTAGTGAGTTGAGCGCTATCTTGGGACTTGGAAGGGGGGGGTTGGGTTCTCTTCCTTGCTCTGCCATTAGCCTGCTGGGTCGCCCTGTGCCTCAGTTCCCCACATAGAAACCGGAGGTGATGGTACTGCCCTCCTTTGCTCAGTGCTTTAAGATCTGTGGATGAAAAGGGTGTGGTGATAAGGTCAGCGTGCTTTACCATAGGTAGAAGGTTCTATGCATGTACCAAGGGCTAAGTCCTTCCGTCGCAAGCCCCCCGGTTTGAGGAACACCCGCAGCAGCCCAGTGCCGGGTGAACACACATGTGCGGTACCCGCAGAGCCAGCCTAGACCTGTGCATCAGGGCGGGTACGCCTGGCTTGCAACGCTCCGCCCAGAGTCCTTACGATCCGGTGAGAAACGCTCTCCCCGTGGAAGTTTGTGCTGAGCGGTTAGAGGCCTGTGAAGGATTAGTATCGCAGGCAGGGGATAAGCTCCCCCTCCCCCACAGTCTGTTTTTGGCCAGCTGTGTAACCAGTTTCGCTTTCCCCCGGATATGAACGTTAGGGCCCTGGTCCTGCAAATGCTTTACACACGCACCTAAAGTTAAGCAACTCGCGTGTGTGCGGGATTGGCTGGTCAGTTTTTACTCTTGCTTGTGTGGACCGTAGTCTTGTGTTTAGTAGAATGAGATCCTGGAAAATAGAATTGCAAGGCCTCCAGGGCGGGGGATGGGACCTGAAGCTTTTTTTAACACTGACTAGATTTCAAGTAACTACAAAATGCAGAGCGATGTTTTCCTGCTGGCCTTCAGGCTACAGTCTGGTAAGCGATCTTCTTCCTGGAGTTGTGCTGACCTTGAAGATATTGATGCATAAACAAGGAAGTGGATGAGTCATGATTTCAAGCTGCTTTGGAAATTCAGGGTAGGAGCAATCAGTATTTTTGTACTTGTAGGTGGTGCATACATCATTGGGTAAGCGTCTGATTTGTGTTAGGAAGGGGAGAAGATAATGGTCCATTGTAGTCTATAAAAATCCATGAACATGCATGAGACAGGGAACTGCTATTGTCACCATCTTACAGGTGGAGAAACTGAGACATGACAAGGCTAAGTGACTTGACCAAGGTCATAAGTGGAGTCTATGGCAGAGCTGGGAATAGAATCCGGGTCTCCTCCAGTGTTCTAAGCACTAGATTCTTCCCAGCTGGGAGAAGGGCTTGTGTCCCTCCTCACTAATCTGCTCCTCCAAGCATCTAGCCATGAGTCCTATCCCACATACTCTTGCATGGTTGCTTCTTTTGCTCATGTGCCAGAGCTAGTAGTGTCTGGGGAGAGCCGGTGCTGGGGGTTTGAATACTGGAACTGGAAGGGACCTCAGTCGTCAGTCCAATCTCCTACACTCACGGCAGGACCAAGCACCATCTAGCCCATCTGACAGGTGTCTGTCTATCCTGCTCTTCTATATCTCCAGTGGTGGAAATTCCACAAGCCCCTAGGAAATTTATTCCAGTGTTTCACCCCCCCGACAGGCAGGAAGTTTCCTAATGTCCAGCCTAAACCTCCCTAGCTGCAATTTGAGCCCATTGCTTCTTGTCCTGGCCTCAGAGGCCCAGGAGAACAGGTCTTCTCCCTCCTCCTGGTAACGCCCTTGTAGGTATTTGAAAGCTGCTGTCATGTCCCCTCTGTCGTCTTTTCTAAACTAAACAAGCCCAGTTCTTTCAGCCTCCCTTCTAGCTCATGTTCTCTAGACCTACCATCAGTCTTGCTGCTCTTCTCTAGACCCTCTCCAGTTTCTCCACGTTGAAGGCAACCAGCCCCTCCCCCAGACACGGCACTCTAGCTGAGGCCTAATCGGCGCCAAGTAGAGCATCCGTGCCCTAGTGAAGTGAAGGCCCCTCTGGGGCCCACAGGTGTTTGGTGCTGGAAGCCAAGCTCCTGAGGGTTTGGGATGCAGGTCTCTTCCCACCGCCTAGATGGGCACACTGCAGAAGGTCCCATCCACTGGAGTTTCTCCCTTACGAGTCCCCTCCGGAGCTGGGAGGCTGCGACTGGCTGCTAGCTGGACTCAAGTGGCCATCTGAGCCCTAGCATAACTGTCCCCTCCGCTTTTCCCGCTCCATCCCCAGAACCGCGACAACTACATCCGGTCCTGCAAGCTCCTCCCGGACGGGCGCAGCCTCATCGTGGGGGGCGAGGCCAGCACCTTGTCCATCTGGGACCTGGCCGCGCCCACCCCCCGCATCAAGGCGGAGCTGACCTCCTCGGCGCCCGCCTGCTACGCCCTGGCCATCAGCCCTGATGCCAAGGTCTGCTTCTCCTGCTGCAGCGACGGCAACATCGTGGTGTGGGACCTGCAGAACCAGACGCTGGTCAGGTGAGCGCTGGGCATCCCTTCCCAGGATGCACTGCAGCGCTGCTGGAGAGGGGAGGTGCTGCCCTGTGCCTGGCCACAGGCCCCTAACTTGCAGCAGGTGACGGCGCCGGACGGCCCCTCTCTCCCCTCCAGGCAGTTCCAGGGCCACACAGATGGCGCCAGCTGCATCGATATCTCCAACGACGGCACCAAGCTGTGGACGGGGGGGCTGGATAACACGGTGCGATGCTGGGACCTGCGGGAGGGGCGCCAGCTGCAGCAACACGACTTCAGCTCCCAGGTGGGTGGGCCATGGCAGTGTTCCCTCTAACGCCTTCCATCCATGTGCGGAATGCATTTTGTGTGTGCACCACCAATAGAAACGTGCTGCCAGCTGTGGGCGCGATGCTGAGCAGCTGGGCGACACTTGACTTTTCCTGGGTGCTCACCCAGCTTACAGGACGCATTAGCCATGGGGCACCACAGAGGTGCCTGATTCTGCCCTCTCCCCAGATCTTCTCGCTGGGTTACTGCCCCTCGGGGGAGTGGCTCGCCGTGGGCATGGAGAGCAGCAACGTGGAGATCCTGCACGTGGCCAATCCGGACAAGTACCAGCTCCACCTGCATGAGAGCTGCGTCCTCTCCCTCAAATTCGCCTCCTGCGGTAGGAGTGCAAGCGGAGATACGCGCTCAGGCCGGCCCAAGGGCTGCACCTGCCTCTGCAGTGATGCCCTGTCTGACCCTACAGCCCCAACCCTCTACGCCGTCCCTCGTCTGAGCCCCGAAGGGAAGGCAACCAGCCCCTCCCCCACTGTGCACCAAGGCAGCTCGGCCGTGCCCTTGCGGGAGTTGGAGGAAGCAGAGGAGCCTTCTTGACCCTGGGCACCATGCTCAGTACCCCCTGAAGCAGGAGTCTCTTGCTTCTCGTTCCCTTGGCATCAATCCGCCAATTTGCTGTGCCTGAGTCCTCCACGAAATTCACCTTTGGATTGACATTTTGGTGCATGCCTCCAGCTCGGTGGGTGGGGGGTGGGAGACCTCCCCCCATTGCTTGCCTTGAGCCAGGCGTGCCCCCTCCCTCCCGTCCTGGTGACACGCTGCCACTCTGCACCAGGTAAATGGTTCGTGAGCACAGGGAAGGACAATCTGCTGAACGCCTGGAGGACGCCCTACGGCGCCAGCATCTTCCAGGTGAGCAAAGGGAGGTGCTGTTCCTGCCAGGGAATCAGTGGGCAAGGGGTTAAACTGGGGACAGCAGCAGGAGAGGCCATCTCCGCAGGAGACCAGTTTAGCCTGGTAGTAAATTTGTCTTAATCCGTTATCCTCAAACAATCGGCTCTCTGAACTAGCAGCCGTGTGTCTCCGGGGAGGGCTTGCTAAGTAGCTCAAGGCCAGCTGGTATAAATCAGGGCAGCGGCAGTCCAAGGCAGGAGGGACCCTTCCGCGATGTGCTAAGTGAGCCGGTTTCATCTGTCCCCTTCCTTGCAGTCGAAGGAGTCCTCCTCCGTCCTGAGCTGCGACATCTCCACGGACGACCAGTTTATCGTGACCGGCTCGGGCGACAAGAAGGCCACGGTTTATGAGGTCATTTACTGAGGGCGAGCTGTTCCAGCCCTCCCCCTCTGCCCAACGGACAAACATCCACAGCAGCATCGCGCCGTGTCGCCGCGGACGGCCAGCGCGGGCCCTCGGCCGCTGGGGCTGGCGCTCAGCCCCCAGGCCAGCGTGGGCCCAGATCTGGCGCTGGGCGCTCTGGTTTTTAATCTGAACTCGGGAGGGTTTTGTAACCGTTGTACCCGTTGATTTCTGTTGGTTTTTTATTGCTCCTGGCTGAGTTGGGAAGGAGGCGGCTGCTCCCCGGTGCTGCCTGGCTTTTAGGTTGTATTTAATAAAAAGCCTCCCCCCTTGGTCCCCGTGAGAGTGGTG